AATACTCGCCAAATACTCGCGGGACTCATTGTACACCCACTTGAAGAGTGGGGGACCCCTCGCCTTGTGACCAGGTGACGACGTCGCGAGCTGTATTATTTGCATAACTGCGAGCACCACCCGCCGTTAGAAGTTAGTCACAGCTTAGTATTCGAGCAGCAGGCTGTGCGCCGCGCTCCGTGTAGTCGAAGCTTGATAACTCCGAACTCCGCCGTATATTTGAAGCATTTAGTGATAACTGCTGTGTGTGAGTATGCCAAGCCTGAGCCAAAAGCCCAAGGTGTTCAGAGTGTATTAATTGGCCACGTGAATTCTTGTGAGACACATGATGAAACCAATGGGTAATTGACTGACCATTTGACCAGGTATCCCGACTACGGTTCGCCGATCGACCATAGCGTGTGCTGAACACGGGTCGACTATGGCCAACGCAGGCGGGAGATTCCCGTCATTCAACCCTAAAGATAACAAGTCGTGGATCACTTACTACCACCGTTTCATACGCCACTGTGAAACAAAGAAGATCGTGGACTACAAGAGCGAATTCATCGACTGCTCCGACGACGAAATGATCGAGTACGTCCAGACCCTCTTCACCAGACGAATCTTAAGCAGCCTCGTCACGTTAGAAGACATATCCAACGCGATGGAGGCGTACTACGAGGAGCCAAGGCGTCGAGGGGTTATCCCAAATCAGCCAGATCCCCCGACCTATCGAAGGTTGACAGTGCGGTTGCTTATTACTATGGCTTTCCTTATTGGTATTATTCCTTCAATTGGCGAATGGGGTGAAATATGTGAACACAATTTGTGTACATTAAGCACGGATTCCAAAATGTTTCCAACAAGGAGGACAAGGAGACCGTGCAAAATACCAGACAACATCACAAAAAACGTAGTTTATACTGTTGTGTTTTTACTGTACAGCGTTCTTCTTGTATTTATACCGAATATCACAATACATTTTTGAAAGTATGACGTGAGAGATAAAATTTTTCATGCAAACAT